GTTTACTTCACTCGCTCGCTCTAATGTGTAGCATGTACAAAAACACTACCATTTGGCACCTTAAGCACATGATACTTAGTTTTACCCCTAAAAAGAAAAACTTGATACTTAGTTTTGGTAAGGAGGGGCATCGATCAGGAAAAGGAAGCAACAAAATGACTTACTAGTCATCATGGCCCACCTTGTGCACCCATATAAACCATGCCCGCTCCTTGAGCAAGTCAAGGCACTGGTAACGGAGTCGCCCAAAACATAGTTGTCGGCTCTTCCCTCCTTAGCATCTTGATAGCATCCGCCATCTAAGTGATGGAGTTTGCGGTCATTGGGGAGTGCACCCATTCGCAAGACATGTGGAGCTTGCCGTCGAAAAATAGGAGGTCATATATATGCCACGCTAGTCGCGAAGACACACGAAGTGGTCAAGCCTGAACGATAATATTCCAAGAGTCGCTTGCTGTAATCTTGGTGTAATCCCATTCCAGGAGCACATGAAGAACCAAAAAGAGCAAGGGACTTAATCACTTTTTATTAGTGCGATCTTGAGCTCATAATAATATTGGAATAAGTCCAGATCTAGAATTTTTCCAATGAAAGTTCGCACAAGTGCACAAAGAGGGTGAGGAAAAACACCAAGTTTGATGTCAGGTCGTAAAGATGGAGGGCATAGAAGACCTAGATAGAGTGAAAGCAGGTTAAAGGGAAAGTTTACCCCACAAGAAAGGGTTGGTCGGTAGAACCACCGGAGTCATGTCCCTTTAGGCATGGAAGGGCATCCAAGGAGAGAATGACCCCGCTGGCCGGCATCCCTTCCTCTGCAGCAGTACGATTGACTCTAGGGTTGATTTCGACCTTGGCGAACCGCCAGTGAGAGGAGCAGAGGATTGCCGCAGCACAGCCCGATGAACGGTCACCAGTCTCAGTAACTTTCAGGTTGTCCGAGTTGTACACCGCGGTAAGCCCATCATAATAAGTGTCACGGGGCTCTATTTCTGAGGCCCCCGAGCCCAGCCCAGCCCACCCACACTTTGCCGGTCTGCATCTCCTCTTCGCCACCGAGGCCAGCCGGCCGCCCCGCCGCCACCCTGACCGGCTCGTACTGCTCTCCTTCCGTCCACCGGCGTCAGCAAGTCCAGCGGGGCAACAACAACGGCGACGATTTCCGCTTCTCCCCCTCAACCTCGAGGTAGGTAGCTGGCTTCCCCCAAATCTCAGCTTTGTTCAAATCTGTTTCTGTAGTTGCTAAAATTTGTTTTAGCTTTCGTATATATAATTTGACATCTCTAATGGGGGCTTGGCAAGGCAAGGGGAATCAAATGGCTTTACAGAAAATTTGCAAAAAATAAGTGGGATCAACTTGTCTTTGCAATGCATAAAACAAATTGTGGTAGCACACTTTCCAATCCATAAAACAAAATGCCATGTCTGACGAGAATGGAAAATGAATCGCTTTCCTTCCTCGTATTGGGTGACAAGCATGTGACTGCCCACATGACGCATCGAACATAGTATCTGAAACAAAATTATCTTTTTTTTTCGACAAAGGGTGGATTTTATTGACTCAAAATGAAGCATCAAGAAGATACAAAATACGATGAGCCCGCACCCGGCCTCTGCATAGCTAAGATGCACACAGCCAACACCAACACACACAAACACGCCGGCAACTAGCAAAGTCATAAGACCAAAGCATGCATAGGCGAGGAAAAAAGAAAAAGTCCCAAAGCAATCAGATCCATGATCGTCAAAACTACAACAATGACCATATCTGCACAGACCATATCATGACACCACATTGACGACGAGGTCTTCACAGCAACGCCTTCAGGAAGGGAGCAACGCTCAAGCATCGCCGTCGCCGGATGCAGCCACTAAGGCCAGAATCTGGGTTTTCACCCTGAAGAATCGGTCCAAAGCATGTCCGAGCAATGCCTTCAACAAGGTAACGACGTAAAAAAAAATATCGCCATTGCCAGGTATAACCAACTCCGGTCGAACCTAGGCTTTCACCCCGGAGCTCTAGACCGGGTGCTCGAGTAGCACCACCATATAAGTAAATTATGTATTGTCGCCACCACTTTTCCGCGATCCCAGCAGTTACATGCGATGCGTCACCGCTGCGCAACCATCCCTTTGCATCAAGACGTCGTCCGTAGTTTTGCATCTCACCGCAGAAGTCAACCGTCGGATCTCGAGAGATGAACCCTCCGTAAGACCTTCGGATGACCACCACCGTCGTGGAGCCGTAGTAGGTCACTGCATAGTCACCACCAAACGGCCGAACCATCACCAAGCCTTCCAGATCTGAGTCAAGGCAACCATGCTGGGTCGTATACCAAGCTGCGGCTACCTGACTATAGATCCGACCGTCTACGAGGCCGCAGGCAGTCGCCGGTTCGAAGACTCCGGCCGCTCGCACACCGACACCCGCCCACCGCCGAGCAGAACCGCCCACCGCCGAGCAGAACCACGTTGGGGCCAACGTCTGCGCGTGCACTGCAGATCCGCTGGGAGACACCATGTGCGCCTGCAGCCTCAGATCAGCACGCAGCCATCCAGGCGCCAGCCCATGAAGCTGGGATCTAAACCCAGCACACCGGCATGCTGCGCGTGCTGTACGTAACGCACCGCAGCAGCCAACGCACTCCATTGACCCGCATGGCCATGTGCCTCTGCCAGGATGAGCAGCCCCCCGCGGCCCCCACACAAGCAGAGAGGAGAAGTTCCTGCCACCACCGATGCCGAGCGGGCTTTGCCCGGCGGCGGCAGGGAGAGAGACGGTGGGTGGCGGCTGTTCGTGGCGGGTAGGGGTCACGCCCGGATCGCCTGCGGGGGAGCGACCGGGGCGTTCAGGATGACAACAAAATTATCTTCGACCCAAAGACCAAGGCGGGCTTGGCATTGAGAATCTTGAGGTTAAGAACAGATGCCTTCTTAGTAAGTGGTTATGGAAGCTCGCTAGCGGTTCGGAAGCTATGTGGGCGCAAATCATTCGCAGCAAGTATCTCCAGACTAGGACTTTGTCCCAGGTAACAGTTAGGCCGATGGATTCGCCTTTCTGGAAAGGGCTCATGAAAGTCAAGCAATTAATGTTCAATAGGACAAAAGTTGTCATTGGCAATGGGGCCACTACACGTTTCTGGGAGGACGCTTGGCTGGGTGACTCACCCTGGCCATTCAGTATCCGTCTTTATATCGTATTGCTCAATGACGTGAGGTGCTCGTGGCAACGGTATTTCAATCTATCCCCCTTAATATTCAGTTTAGACGGTCATTAGCGGGCAATCGTTGGGAGGTTTGGCTCCAGTTAGTTAGGAGACTAATGGAGGTTCAGCTTTCTGACCAACCGGATAAATTACGCTGGAAGTTGACTACGTCTGGGGTATTTACAGTCAGGTCTATGTATACTGATGTTATTAATACAAGCTCCATTCCAACTTCCAAGAGTGTCTGGGATGTCAAAGTACCTTTGAAAATAAAAGTGTTTATGTGGTTTGTTCATAAACAAGTTATTCTAACAAAGGACAACTTAATAAAGCGTAATTGGACAAGACCTACTAGGTGTAGTTTCTGCGATCGAGATGAGACAATTAAACATCTCTTTTTTGATTGCCCGCTGGCCAAGGTTCTCTGGCAGACGGTCCACATTGCTTTTAATATAACTCCACCGAATACTGTTAATGCTTTATTTGGGAATTGGCTATATGGGTTTGACTCTACAATAGCAAGACATATTCGGGTTGGAGTCTGCGCTTTAATATGGACCATCTGGCTGTGCAGAAATGATTTGGTTTTTAACAGATCACCACGAATTCATTTTTTGCAGGTTATCTTCCGAGCTACGGCGCTGATCCGTTCATGGTCATTACTCACTCCGATGGAGGCCAGGGAGCATTTGGTTACTAGGTCTACCCGGTGGGAGATGGTTGCTCGGGATATCTTCAACCGGTTTGGATGGCGGTTATGTAATAGGATAGGCAATTAGTTTCCCTATCTATATAGCCAGCCGGTTGTGGCTCCTTTATTGGCTAGTTAGTGTCTCTAGCCTTCTGCGCTCTGTGTGGGCTGCTTTTTATTGTTTTCAGTTAGAGACTATGGAATTTTGTACGCACTTTTTGTTGCTTCTTTAATAAGATGGCTGTATGCATCACTCTTGATGCAGAGGCCGGGGAGTCCCCCCTTTTCCAAAAAAAAAAACAAAATTATCTTCCTAGCTGCAACTGGACATTTTGTAATGGCTGTGCACGCTGTCTTAGATGGTTGTCGGTGCCTATATCGCTAGTGACCAGGTTAGATATTGTTCTTGTGATTGGCTCGAGAACAGATCTCAGGCTGTATACCACTGTTATATATTGGAGAGCTCAAGAACTGTACCCTTCTTGCTCACTGCATTCTCTTCTCCACTCTTCACATGTGAGTGGGTGGAGCAATAAAGCCCTCCACTCATCTATCGGCATCCTCTTTTTCCAACACCACGTCTCCTCTGTCGCCAAGAAAACTGATTTCGTTGCCAACAGGCAATCCCCACAGCATTGTCTTTTCCAAAAGGAGAATCGAATCCACTCCTCTGAATTCCCCATCATGGCGTCTCCTGAATTAATGTGCTCTCCCGAATCATGTTCCCACCAATTCCCAACCTTCGCTGCCTCACATCTCCCACACATCAGCTTCCCCAGACCTGACGCCGTCGTTGCTGGTGCCGACCAGGCTCTATGGCTGCTGCCGCCGCCGCTGCTACAGCGCAGAGCTACTCAGCGTCCACTTGTTGCCGGTGAGGACGAGCTGGGCGAGCGCTCATGAAGGCCCCCTGTTCGTACGCTGTTCCAACGAATCAGGTAACTATGTCTGCAAGACTGAATTTTACTTTTCGTTCGTTTAAGCAAAATTGGATTTTTCTCTTGACTCGTTCAAGAACAGATCCTAATCATATACACATGTCTTCCTCACATCATTGTCTTCTACATTAATTCTGCAGTGCACTTGCGTTGTGCGTGAGGATTCCAATGGCGGAGCTGGTGGTCATGCTCAAGGACAAGGCGTCCAGCTACCTTCTCGACCAGTATAATGTGATGGAGGGAATGGAGAAGCAGCACGGAATTCTCAAACGCAGGCTTCCTATCATCCTCGATGTCATCACCGACGCCGAGGAGCAGGCCATGGCAAACAGAGAAGGGGCGAAAGCATGGCTCCAGGAGCTCAAGACTGTGGCCTATGAAGCAAATGAAGTCTTTGACGAGTTCAAGTATGAAGCACACCGCCATGCAGCAAAGAAGAATGGACACTACAGAAAGCTCGGCTTTGATGTGATAAAACTCTTCCCTACTCACAACCGTGTTGTGTTCCGTCAGAGAATGGGCAGCAAGCTTTGCAGGATTCTGGAGGATATCAATGTCCTCATTGCAGAGATGCATGACTTTGGGTTGAGGCAGACGTGGTCGGTGTCTAATCAGTTGGGCCAGACACCAGTGTCCAAGGAGTGGAGGCAGACGGATTATGTCATCATTGACCCACAAGAAATTGCCAGCAGATCCAGACACGAAGATAAGAGCAATATCAGTGACATACTTCTTGGTGAAGCGAGCAATGCAGATCTTGTAGTAGTTCCCATTGTTGGAATGGGGGGCCTTGGCAAGACCACATTAGCGCAACTAATATATAATGAACCTGAAATTCAGAAGCATTTCCAGTTGCTGCTTTGGGTATGTGTCTCTGATAATTTTGATGTGAACTCCCTGGCTAAGAGTATAGTTGAAGCATCTCCCAAGAAGAATGATGATACACATAAACCACCATTGGATAGACTTCAAAACCTGGTCAGTGGGCAGAGGTATCTCCTTGTACTGGATGATGTCTGGAGCAGAAAGGTCCACAAGTGGGAAAGGCTAAAGGCTTGTCTTCATCACGGTGGCAGTGGTAGTGCAGTGTTGACAACAACCCGTGATAAACAAGTTGCTGAAATTATGGGTGCAGATAGAACCTACAATCTCAATGTTTTGAAGGATAACTTCATAAAGGAAATTATTGTGGATAGAGCATTCAGTTCAGAGAATGAAAAGCCTCCCGAGCTACTCAAGATGGTTGGTGAGATTGTGAAGAGATGTTGTGGCTCTCCTTTAGCTGCAACAGCACTAGGCTCTGTACTTCGTACCAAGACCAGCGTGGAAGAATGGACGGCCGTATCATCTAGAAGCAGTATTTGCACTGAGGAAACAGGAATTTTGCCAATACTCAAGCTTAGCTACAATGATTTGCCAGCACAAATGAAGCAGTGCTTTGCTTTCTGTGCCATATTTCCCAAGGATTACAAGATTAATGTGGAGAAGCTTATCCAACTATGGATTGCAAATGGCTTTATCCCAGAACAGGAGGAAGCTAGTCTTGAAACCATTGGAAAACATATTTTTAGTGAGCTAGCATCAAGGTCATTCTTTCTGGACATAGAGGAATTTAAGGGTGGCATGCAAAATGAACAGTATTGTTTTAGAACTACATGCAAAATTCATGATCTTATGCATGATATATTGCAATGTCTGTTATGGGAAAGGAATGTGTCGTTGCAATTAAGGAACCATGTCAAATTGAGTGGCTTTCGGATACTGCTCGGCATTTGTTCCTTTCAGGTGAAGAAACAGAAGGTATTTTGAATAATGCTTTGGAGAAAAAATCCCCTGCCATTCAAACACTGATATGCGATAGTCCTATTCGAAGCTCATTGCAGCATCTATTAAAATACAACAATTTGCATGCCTTGAAGCTTTGTTTGAGAACAGAATCATTTCTACTCGCAAAGTATCTGCATCACCTGAGGTACCTTGATCTCTCATACAGTGATATAGAAGCACTTCCTGAAGATATAAGTATTCTATATAACCTTCAAGTGTTGGACCTTTCCTACTGTTTTGATCTTGATCGACTTCCAAAGCAAATGAAGTATATGACTTCCCTCCGCCACCTCTACACTCATGGATGTCCGGAGTTGAAGAGCATGCCCCCAGGACTTGAAAATCTCACTAAGCTGCAGACACTCACAGTTTTTGTAGCAGGAGTTCCTGGCCCTGATTGCAGTGATGTTGTAGAGCTGCAGCATTTAAACCTTGGTGGTCATCTATAGCTACGCCAGGTAGAGAATGTTAAAGAAGCAGAGGCAAAAGTGGCGAATCTTGGAAACAAGAAGTATCTCAGGTTGGCGACAGCAAGGTGCTCGACAAGTTCGAACCTCATGGTGGGCTGCAGGTTCTGAAGATATATTCCTATGGAGGAGAGTGCATGGGTATGTTGCAAAACATGGTTGAGATCCATCTTTTTCATTGTGAAAGATTGTGATTTTTGTTCAGATGCAGTACACTCTTCACTTTTTCAAAACTGAAGGTGCTTATGCTAGAACATTTGTTGGGTTTTGAGAGATGGTGGGAAATAGATGAGAGGCAAGAAGAACAGACAATATTTCCTGTGCTTGAGAAGTTGTTTATTAGTCATTGTGGAAAGTTGGTAGCATTTCCTGAAGCACCATTGCTGCAAGGACCTTGTGGTGAAGGTGGTTATACATTGGTACGCTCAGCATTTCCTGCCCTAAAGGTGCTCAAATTGAAAGACTTGGAGAGCTTTCAGAGATGGGATGCAGTCGAAGAGACTCAAGGAGAACAGATATTGTTTCCTCGGCTTGAGAAACTATTGGTAAAGGACTGCCCACAGCTGATAGATTTACCTGAAGCACCATTGCTTCAAGAACCATGTAGTGAAGGTGGTTATAGATTGGTACGGTCAGCATTTCCTGCCCTAAAGGTACTCAAAATGAAATGCTTGGGGAGCTTTCAGAGATGGGATGCAGTCGAAGGGCCATTGTTTCCTCAGCTTGAGAAACTATCAGTTGAGAATTGCCCAAAGATAAAAGATTTACCTGAAGCACCAAATCTCAGTGTATTAAAAATTGTAGATGGCAAACAAGAGATCTTCCACTGTGTAGACAAGTATTTGTCTTCATTGACCAATCTGACACTGATGCTAGAATACACTTCAATTCTACCTGTGGACAGCAAAGAGAAATGGAACCATAAATCCCCTCTTACAGTTGTGAAGATAGGATGCTGCAACTCATTCTTTGGACCAGGTGCACTAGAGCCGTGGGAGTATTTTGTACACCTCGAGAAGTTGGAAATTTATAGGTGCGACGTGCTCGTCCACTGGCCAGAGAAAGTGCTTCAAAGCTTGGTATCCTTAAGGACATTAGTGATTAGAAACTGCGAAAATCTGACTGGATATGCACAAGCTCCTCTTGAGCCATTGACATCCGAAAGGTGTGAACACCTGAGAGGTCTGGAGTCTCTTTGCTTACAAAACTGCCCAAGTTTAGTAGAGATGTTCAACGTCCCGACATCTCTGAAGAAAATGGATATTAGATGGTGCATTAAGCTTGAGTCCATATTCAGCAAGCAGCAGGGCATGTCAGATTTAGTCCAAGGATCTTCTAGCAGTGAGGCAGTCATGCGTGCAACTGTATCAGAATTGTCCTCTTCACCCGTGAATCACTTTTTTCCATGCCTCGAAGATTTATATTTATTTGCATGTGGAAGCTTACCAGCGGTTCTAAATCTCCCTCTGTCCTTAAAGGCCTTAGAAATTGATGGTTGCAACGGTATTCAAGTCCTATCATGCCAGTCGGGTGGGCTCCAGAAACCAGAAGTCACTACCTCCATAAGCAGAAGTCCTATCATGCCAGAGCCAGCAGCAACAACAACTGCAATAGAGCATTTATTTCCTCCCCATCTCGAATCTCTAGTAATACGGGATTGTGCTGGCATGTTGGGTGGGACTCTCTGCCTGCCTGCACCCCTCAAGAGACTGGGTATTATTGGCAACAGTGGGTTGACATCGCTGGAGTGTTTGTCGGTTGAGCACCCCCCATCGCTGGAAGAACTTGAACTTAAAAGCTGCTGTACCCTGGCATTCCTGCCGAATGAGCCGCAAGTATACAGGTCTCTCTTGTTTCTTATAATTAGAGGCTGCCCTGCTATAAAGAAGCTCCCTAGATGCCTGTGGCAGCAACTGGGCAGCATCAAAGGCAAATATCTAGATGCCCGTTATGAAGGTATGCTTGCAGCACGTCCTTCTATCCTTGCCACATTTAACAAACAGATGCAGTCATCCATTCCATCCCTTGTACATAATGGTGAACACGTTTGCAAAAGTTTCTTCTCCATTATTTGAATGCCATCATGCTATACATTATGATATAACACATTAGTTTGTACAAGTTTTTTTTTTCTGACATCTCTTGTGATATGTGCAGTAACGGAATTCAAACCACTGAAACCGAAGACATGGGAGGAAATACCGAGGCTAGTCCGTGAGCGGAGGCAGGCCAGCCGGAGTTGAAGGCCATTCAGCTTTTATTCCATGGAAAATCTCGAGAGGTCAGGAAGTTCATGCAATTCACAATAGGAGAATAACATTGAATCCTGTTAAATAGAGGAGGAGAAGAGGCGGAAACCAAATGAAGACGGCATAATATGCATTCTGTTTGCGTCAAATAATGTACCACTGGGTTAGTTATGCCATTATTGTAGTCAATCAGGCTTTGCTGAACTTTGACCTGTATCTTGTTCGCATACTTGTAGTGTGAATGGGTTTATACCCCTGAACATCTCCCAGGTTATACACGGTTGTGAGCATGAATTCTCATACTTGTGGGTTATATGATGTCGGATCACTATATGCCGTGATTAATTCCAGGGCTAGGGCAGCATGTGTTAAATTGTTCCAGCAGCACGTTTTCCTTTGCAGCAGGTGCTGATTTGCAAGGTAGATGGTTGAGTAATAAAAAGAAGTTTTGCTTGTTCTCTGTTTGCTCTGTTATTGCTGCCCTATGGAAGATGCCCAAAAGGAAATCCTTTTTGGCATTTGCTGGATGAGAAAGGTTTGGTGGTGAGGTGAATTTTGCTTGGCTGTTTTTGTCAATGGATGGAATGTCCTTGCATTTGAACTGACTTGCTTCTCTCTGTGTAATGAAGCAGTAGAAGTTGACTTTTGCATAAGGAAACTAAACAGGGGTAAACCGCTTCTTCTCAAGGATATTTGGTTAGTGTTTGTTATCTCTGCAGCCTCCTGTAGCCAGTCAGTGCTCTGCTTCTATGGTATTGTTTGTGTCTGTTCTACACTAACATGTCCTGCCATATATTTTTTGTTGCAGAAATTTCGGTCCACACATCTTGCTGTCCTGTCAATACGATCACAGAGTGAGAACTCCTTTTGCGGGCCAAATTAATTCATTTCTTCCTCATTGCTTGCTTCTGCATAATCAGTTAGTCACCCACGGTGTAACCATTACAAGGAACTAGACACGCATCTTGAGAGCAATGCTGGTTACTGGGCACATGGCTGCCATGTCAGCCTTTCCCAAGACGAAGTAATACAGCTTTTGAAATTGTTGAGAAACTTTCCTGTACTCTGCAGTTTGGAGGCCCGCGGAAGGATGTCGTGGATTGTTTTGGATAGTAGGCCTCCCCGATGGCTGCTGCTCTGCTCTGTCCGGGGAATGTCTTGTGATTGTTTCTGTAGCTGTACTGTACCGTACTTCAGTCGCTTCCAATCGAGAATAGTTGGGGCCTGTGGTGTGGCGTCAAGTCAAGTCGGGCATCGCTGAATTACATCCAAGGCCAGCCAAGACGATCCAATCTGGATCATTTGGTTTGCTGCTGGTTGTTGTTTAGGTGTGTACTGCTAGGTCATGTCATGGTTGTTATCGGATCTGCTCAACTTTGCTTTCTATCTTCTTCAGATTCAGATATATGTAACGTGAATTAAGCCATCTCCCTGAGCATCTGCCAGGTTCAGCACAAGTTGAGGGGTATATGTACTCACATTTCGCAGTTGGAGCCTGCAGTGTAGGGAAACTGCTCACATCCCCATATCCCAGGCCCAATCCCCATATCTCTGGATTTTGTCTTCTGCTGGTCAATTGGGTGGGTGTGTGTACAACAGTTTTCGTCTGTCATGTTGTTCGCTGTAGCAATTGGGTGTAGTGTTGCAGATATATCTGAATAAATTGCAGGCTGCTTACGAGGAACCCAAAGAGAGTAGGCACTTGAATGAAGAAGTAATGGACGTTGGGTACTACAGTAGTATTATGTAGTAAGATTTGTGTGTCCTTTTGTTACTTTTGGTTCAGCTTCAGTTAATTTACCACTGTTTCTTAAGCCTCTTTACAACCCTCCTGTAAACATTCAGTCAGTCCTCTGCTTTTTATATAAACTTAAGTCTCTTTTAGTTTATTAGTAACGCCCTTCACCCAAGGTTCCTGTTTCTTAAGTTAATTCTAACGATAGACTGTAGCCTGTTTGTTCAGTTATTTAACCTTCTGCTCTGTTTGAATCGAATTGCGGTCTATTTCACATGGGTGACGTCCGCGGAAGCGATTAATCTCTTGGCACAAGGAGTGGAGACGATCGGTGCGGCGCACATGAGGGCGATGCAGAAGAACTCATTGCCGATGCCGAATGAGACACGCGTCACCAGAAACCACCAACTGCCCCTACATGGTGTTGCGCCGGCCATCCCCAGTTGTGATGATGCTATCGATCGATCGCTGGGTTGTTATCACTACCAGAAAAACTGGGGTTGCCGACGGCCAAATCTATGCCGACGGCAC